TTCGTCAACCACACACTCTCCTACTTCAACGTCAGTCACTTCCAGCCTGGCACCGAGCCGATGGACCCGCTTCACCTGGGCTACCGCGTCGACGTCTGCAGGTGCGCGCGCGCTTTTGCACTGTGTGGATCTTCTATGTGTTTATCATATTCATAATCTTCACACTATCCGCAGATATAAAGATTACAGGGACCCGCCATGGTCTGACACGCCGTACGAGTTCTCACGAGAATTCTGGGCCATTCTGGCGGCGCGATTCGCCTTCGTCATCGTCTTTCAGGTCAGAAAACATATTCATTAAACACCAAATTAAATAATTCTAAATTTTTGATTTCTGATTACTTTCTGTATGAATCTTTTTATTAGTGTTTGTTGTTTAACATTAATTATTAAAAAAAAATTAATTATAAATAGAGCTGTCAAATCGATTAATCGCGGTGTGTGTGTGTGTGTGTGTGTAGGGCTGTCAAACGATTAATCGCATCTAAAATAAAAGTTTATTTACACATAATATATGTGGGTGGCACTGTCTATAATTATTTTATGTATATAAATACACACACATGCCATGCTTGTATATATTTAAGAAATATTTCCATGTATAATACTGTATATAGATTTATATATAATGTAAGAAATATTTTATATATAAATAATATTTTTTTCTTAAATATACATAGTGTGTGTGTGTGTGTGTGTGTGTGTCTATATATATAAATACTGTATACACACACACACACACACAAAATAATTATACACAGTGCACCCACATATATTATGTATATACAAACTTTTATTTTGGATGTGATTTAATCGCGATTAATCATTTGACAGCCATATATATATATATATATAAGGGCTGTCAAACGATATATATATATATATATATATATATATATATATATTCACGCACACTATATATAAACAAAAACGTATATGTTAAGATGCAATTAATCATGACTAATCAATTTGACAGCATTAATTATAAATTATATTTAATTTATTACAATTAATTCTGACATTATTATAATGTGTAAAATCTCAATTTCTTTACTGTCCATTTGAATCATTTATACCCATTATTAAAATGGGCAAAAATGAATTTCAGATACTACTTTGATCAGTGTTATTTTACAAATATTGTGTTATTTAGTGATATTTTACATATTTTCAATTTAGTTTGTTTTAGTAATTTTGTTAACTACTTTTGTCATGTTTTATTAAGTTTATCGCCCAAATATTTCAAGTTAGCTTTATTTTTACTTCAGGCAATATATCTAATTTACATTTACGTTTCTAATATTTCAGCTTTATTTTAGTTCATGAAACCTATACTGAGTGTAATATACGCTTATAAGTGTACTTTAACATTCAATTATTATTTTTTCGATTGCAATTATGCAAAATGTACCGAATTGTCATGAAAATAAATGTTGTAATGCTAAAAACATGAATGCTTATATAATATACTTTACTTTTGTTACGCAATACTATAATTTTAATCTTTTTTCTTGTGATTTTTGTGGTACAATTTAACACTTTCAGCATTATCACAGTTTATTCACTGTAGTGGTAATAAAATATGATAATCAGTTGATATTTCACTGGTTTTGTCATATTTGTCTCATAAATGAATTATGTTGGATATCTGTCAGCTGTTAAATTGAACTACACCATTAGATAATACCAGTTTAGCTCAACCAATACAGTCTGTGGTGTAAAAAGGTCGCATTAGCAATTAAAGAAAAACACTGTTCAGGTCAAAGTTTCTGAATCATATTTGGTCCCAAATGTTTATAAATTTTACTGGTAGTCACTTTATGAAGGATTTTTGGGTATGATATGTCACAGTTTACTTTATTTTTGCTCTCCTCACGTACATAAATGAACTATAGTGTCCTGCACCCACTAGTAAAAAATATATATCTGGTGTCTGAATACTTTTCGGTTTGACTGGACTCCAATATGAGTGTTAATTCTCTCTCTCCTCTCGGTCCAGAATGTGGTAATGCTGATGAGTGACTTTGTGGATTGGCTAATCCCAGACATTCCCAAGGACATTAGCGTTCAGATACACAAGGAGAGGAACCTCATCGTTGAGTTGTTCATGAAGGAGGAGCGGGGTAAGAAGTACAGGAACACCATCGGCGACCCGAGTCCTCAACCGCTGCGCTCGCGTCCCAGTTCGCAGGCTTAGACCAGCTGATCTTCATCAGAACTCAATGTCGGTACAAAGGTCACGTGACTGCCTCCTCATTTGCATACCGTTTTCCTTCCGTCTGTTAAAGGAGTAAAAACTTTTGCTGATAATTTACTCACCCCCATGTCATCCAAGATGTCCATGTCATTCTTTCTTCAGTCGAAAAGAAATGATGTTTTTTCAGGATTTTTCTCCATATAATGGACTTCATTGGGGACCAAACGGTTCAAGGTCCAAATGAGCGTTTCAGTGCAGCTTTAAACGATTCCAGACGATGAATAAGGGTCTTATCAAGCGAAACCATCGGTCATTTCAAAAATAAATAAAAAACTTGAAGTTTCATAAGCTCAAATGCTCGCCTTGCTCGACTCTCCTGTTCAATCAACCAAATGACTCAAATGATGGCGAGCATTTGTGCTTATACAATTCAAAGTTTTTGATTTATTTTTTAAATGAGCGATCGTTTCGCTAGATAAGACCCTTAATCATCATCTGGAATCGTTTAAAGCCCTTTGAAGCTGCACTAAAACTCTCATTTGGACCTTGAACCGTTTGGTCCCCATTGAAGTCCATTATATGGAGAAAAATCCTGGAATGTTTTCATCAAAAACCTTAATTTCTTTTCGACTGAAGAAAGAAAGACATGAACATCTTGGATGACATGGGGGTGAGTAAATTATCAGCAAAAGTTTTTTTTTTTTTTTTAAAGTGAACTACTCCTTTAACGCAACGCTCTCTTTTTCTAGCTTTATGCAGTCTGGCGGTTTGTTCAGAAAGAGGGCTCTAGGGTTTTATCTGTTGACTGATGAATAGTGTGTTGTTTTGTGACACATTGCTGCTTCAGCATTTTATTAAAAAAAAAAAAAAACGATGCTTTTATAGGACTTTTAACATGAAATTGTAACGTTTATGTTTGCGATATTGATAGGATAGGACTCATTTAAAGTGCTTTTTAAATGATTTATTATAAAACCTTTCATTCAGAAGATTTCTGCCCGAGTGAATTAGCAACTATCAATATCAAGAAGTAGTTCTGCGCTGTCATAGTAATGAATGTTTCTGTTTAGGCTTTAGCGTCTATAAAATATAGACATAAAACACTACTATTAAATCAAAGTTACTACAATCCTCACTTGGTCTTTTTTTTAGTATTCTATGCGATTTTGACAGAATGCCGATGGATTTTTTCGGCAGCATGCAAGAGCTTGGTTTATAGGTAGTGCATCTGATAATGCTGTTAATAAAGGGTTCGCTGCTTAGAAACCCATGACGTTCAAGAGGCCTTAATATTCACGGAAATGCGCTGCATTTATTAATATTAAATGGAGAGTTTTGTGTCTGCCTGTCTGAATGTTTTCTCTTGTCTTTAATGGCGAAGATGATTGAACCGATGTGTTTTGGTACAAGATGTTGCATGTGTCTTCCATTCATTGTACTTATGTGTGTCTAAAAGTGTGATAAATAAGAGTGGTTCTAATTGAAATGAATATAATATAAATATAAATCCAGTCTTAAGACATTCTGTTTGTTTTGACATATGCCTGTGTGTTTTCCTCACGTACTACAGAATTGTTTTTTTTAATTTTTTTTTTATATTCCTGTATCTCCACAAAGGCTTTGGTTCTACCTTTATTAATACAATGTAAACCTCTGTTCAGACTGTTACATCATCCACATACTGTTTACCTCTGTGAAAGAATGTCTTTAGTGTCGTCATGGAGTTTTACTGTCTCAAACTGCTAATGGGAAGTTATGACTGTACTTATGCTTTTGAACTGTTTCTAAAATAAATGTCATATACATTTGGTACGTACACGTTTATTGACTCTTTTGCTGACTGGAAGGCCAGTTGCTTGGAAAAAAGGTGTGCTTGTTTGTTAAAAAAATATTTTTTTATTGTTGTTGCTGCTCCTCCTTTGGATGGAAATAAGGAAGGATGGATGAGCAATAAAATAGGAAGTATGTTATGGGAAGCCTTTTTTACTTTTATTCATTTCCAGGATATGAATCTTCATATCAATAATTCACTTTTACATTTATATTATACTAGTAAGAATTGTTTTTCTGGTATGTGAATAAGAAATAAGAAATCAGGTCAACAATTGAATGTGAATGTCAGCCTGGTGATATTTAACTAGTGAAAATACAATTGTGTAATTCTTAATATTGAAAATTCGTTTTTCTGCGAGTGATTACGTCATTGTTAATATCGAGATTTAACATTTTTACTAGTGGACATGTAATTACTGATATCAAAAAATGAGCATTTTAACTAGCCTAGAGAAAATCGATTTGTTGATATCAATAATTCATATCCGGGAAATGAATAAAAGTCTAAACGGTTTGCCAACTTCAAATTCATTTGAAGTGTGATTCATTTTGGGAATCGATTCTTTTGGATCAGAAAGGCATGGGACCAACTGAATCATCACTCAAAAGGTTTCCAACAACTCTCGCATGCTTCATTTACATCTCTTAGCTGGAAATACAGGTTTTAAGAAAACGGCAGCCTACTTTTTTTCTATTCTGTTTCGTTTGTGTGTTGGTCACGCAATTATAATCATCAGTGGTTATATTTTCTCTCGGTTCAGTCACATGTTGCTCATGGACTTGGTCAGTTCTGAATTCAGTCAGAAATTACCTGAGTTTGTGAGAATCAAAATCTCGAGAATCGCTCGACTCATTCAGTGCGATTCGTGAACCAATTCAATCGATACAAAAATCTGACTCAAAGGAACAATTCGTTCAAGAGTCGGACACGTCGGAAATGATTCATTTTTACACACAGGAATGAATTCAAAGGAATGAATCATGTGTGTGATGCAAGTTCCGTATAAAGTGAAGCGTTATTATTGGCTGGCGTTATTTCTGTTTCACAGCTGACTAACTCGAGCAGTGGAGTCGGGTGGATTTGAGGGATTTTCTCGCTGTATCGCGAGTGTCGAAAGTGAAAGAGTTCAGATGAAGCGTCCGGGCGTCGTGCCGTAACGCTATAAAGTTAACTTGTGTTAGCGTTCAAACACAGCGATCATGGACACGCCCGGGTTTAGAGCGATGTTACTAGAGATATCCAATAAACTTTCCGTGGAGAATGTGGCGAGTTTAAAGTTTTTGTGCACAGAGTACATCGGGAAGAAAAGGCTTGAGAAAATCGATAAGGGATTTGAACTTTTCGAGTGCTTGATGGAAAGAGCTGCCATTGGGGCCGATAACACGGACCTGTTGCGGAAACTCCTGAATGACATCGGTCAGACAGCTCTTCTCGAAATTCTACAGGATTATGAGACCGGAAGCAGAAGCCCCGATGATGGACTGGAGGAGAAACACCGAGGTTTGGATGTCTTTACTCTTGCTGTTCAATGCTAACACTGTTTTCTGACAGACAGGCAAGAAAGAGTGATAAGGCAGTTAGTCAGGATATTTTTGTTTAACTCTCTAAATGCCTCTTATTTAAAGTGAAACGATAGCTTAAAGACAGACTGGGGTGTAGTTATTTCAATTATATTTCTTGGTATTTTATCGTTTAGTTCCACTGGTGTTTACCTTCGCGGCTTTCTGTCTAGAGATAGTGCTTGAAAAAACGCAAACTGATGGCTTGGCAAGCCGAATTAACGTTCAACGAATACTTCCTTATATTATAGGCGAAGTTCCACACGTGTGTGTGTGTGTGTGTGTGTGTGTGTGTGTGTACCATCCAAGCAGCAATCTCCCCGTCTCTCTCTTGAAACCAACACTGCAATTCATCGAGTGGCCGCTTGAGGCCGCTGCAGAAGCGAGTCATATCTGTATCTCCCCCATGTTAAAATGGCCAACTTAAAGCCGCCGGTGCAAAATGAACCTTTGGTTTATTACACATTGTAACCTAGTCAACCGTTATCTGAGATTTGTTTTCATGATTGCCGAATGTAAATAGTTTTATCTCTAAAAACAGTTTAGCCTATAATGCTAGTATAACGCTCGTATATAGGGCATAGAGTAATGGCAAATAAAAATCGCTTGTTATTACCACTAACAAGGCTCAAAATAGCCCCACAGTAACACGGTAGCATAATAAGGGTCCCTACATTCAAACCGAAGCATTCAGAACTTTGTCAGTGTCCATACAGTTTAATAAGAAGGTATTTTATACACACAGTCAACTTTGTGAACACAGGAAGAAGCCATCTTTGAAAAAATAGTCTGTACCAGTCGATCTACGAACGCCAATCCAAGTGCGCTGAACTGTGCAGAATCTCATATGGTCCGTTGTATCCGGAAGAAACGGATTTCTTCTCTTCAAGATGTACATGTAGACTACTGTTCGCGCTCACCTTATTCACATCTCACCAGCGCAGAGAGATGTGAATGCTAACGTTATACTAGCGTTATAGGCTAAATTGTTTTTAGAGATAAAACTATTTACATTTGGCAATCATGAAAACAAATCTCAGATAACGGTTGACTAGGTAACAATGTGTAATTAGACCAAAGGTTCATTTTGTGCCGGAGTTCTCCTTTAACAGCAGAAAAAAACATGTTTACAGCCTGGAGCAAAAAGTGATTTTGGTCTAGGTCGCTAATTTTCCCCCTCATGACGACTGTGAGGGGGGTACATTTTTTTTATAACTCATCCGTTTAAATTAAGCCTTAAAGTTCTGCATAATTAAGGGAGTGGTCACTTGAGTGACAGGTGGACTTTTTCATTGTTGTTCATAAATTCATCATTTGACATTGATCTGAAATCAGCAGTCATCGATCTAAAAAATAAATCTGCCTAAAAGATTAACTTTTAAAACTTGTCATCCTAACGACAAACGGCTTTACTGACTCTACACTAAAATTATAAGATAAGACAAGTAAAAATTAGAAAAATATACTCTTTTTCATAACTCATTGGCTCTGGTCATATTTTAGTTGTTTACTACTTGTTCTACTTTAGTTGTTCTACAATACGAACTATAACGTAATCCAATGACTTGTATCTTTTTCACTGATAACTATTATATTAGAAATTAGAATAGAGACGTAGTGACGGATTTAACAGATCCATTCTTCTGTTTCATTACTTTTTTGCTTATTTTCAGTATTTAGTTCATTATGGCAGGGTTTATGATGTTGGTTGAAAGTGGGGATTTGCAATAGTGGATTTTTGCAAAACATTTTTCAAATCTGATTTCTTTCCTCAGGCCATCTACCTCATGATGCCTTCACACATGCAATACACAACACTATTTATACTCATATTTGTAAATAACATACCTGTACATGCATATATTGTCTATTTTTGTATGTTGTGTATTGTTTATCACAGATAACTAAATTGTACATATAAAATTATTTAATTTACAAGTGTCGTTTGTGATTTTTATTTATCATGTAACTTAAGCCATAGCTTCTGACCATTAAATAAAACCAGACTCGTGATTTTATAACATCAGTTACTGCTTTATTGAAATACAGAGTTATTTGTTTATCACGGTATATTATACGTTATATTGTCGGCAAGGCATTTCGGCATATTTATTTCATATCCGGCACTTTTATCAGTCGATTCCAATGCCGAGCCGGTAATATCGTGAGAAGAAATTTCTTGCCTCATGCATATGGGTTTTTCTATGGCCAATATAATGAACAGGTTTGAAATGATGCAGTTAAATATATAATACAATTTACAGTCATTAAACTTTTAAAGCCTACTGTAAAGCTTCTAAATTATCAACAGGATCAAACTGGATGCACAGAAACTGCATGCCTTCTGTCGCCTGACTGACAGTTCAAGTAAAAGCCTTTTAGTGTCATACTAAAAATGTGGCCCTTCAGGTCGTGGTTCTTCATGATATTTTTCTGTGAAATTCATGATTTGTATTAAAGTAAATATTCGACTGCATTTACACTGCAGGTCTTGATGCCTAATTCTAATTTGTTTGCTATATCGGATTTTTTTTTTTCGACGACCAGCTTGCATCTTCTTTTAAAGTTGACCCATATACACTCACCTAAAGGATTATCAGGAACACCATATTAATACTGTGTTTGACCCCCTTTCACCTTAATTCTACGTGGCATTGATTCAACAAGGTGCTGAAAGCATTCTTTAGAAATGTTGGCCCATATTGATAGGATAGCATCTTGCAGTTGATGGAGATTTGTGGGATGAACATCCAGGACACGAAGCTCCCGTTCCACCACATCCCAAAGATGCTCTATTGGGTTGAGATCTGGTGACTGTGGGGGCCATTTTAGTACAGTCAACTCATTGTCATGTTCAAGAAACCAGTTTGAAATGATTCGAGCTTTGTGACATGATGAATTATCCTGCTGGAAGTAGCCATCAGAGGATGGGGTCATGGTGGCCATAAAGGAATGGACATGGTCAGACACAATGCTCAGGTAGGCCGTGGCGTTTAAACGATGCCCAATTGGCACTAAGGGGCCTAAAGTGTGCCAAGAAAACATCCCCCACACCATTACACCACCACCACCAGCCTGCACAGTGGTAACAAGGCATGATGGATCCATGTTCTCATTCTGTTTACGCCAAATTCTGACTCTACCATCTGAATGCCTCAACAGAAATCGAGACTCATCATTTTTTCAGTCTTCAACGGTCCAATTTTAATGAGCTCTTGCAAATTGTCGCCTCTTTTTCCTATTTGTAGTGGAGATGAGTGGTACCCGGTGGGGTCTTCTGCTGTTGTAGCCCATCCGCCTCAAGGTTTTGCGTGTTGTGGCTTTGCTGCATACCTCGGTTGTAACGACTGGTTATTTCAGTCAAAGTTGCTCTTCTATCAGCTTGAATCAGTCGGCCCATTCTCCTCTGAAGGCATTTTCGCCCACAGGACTGCCGCATAGTGGATGTTTTACCCTTTTCACACCATTCTTTGTAAACCCTAGAAATGGTTGTGCGTGAAAATCCCAGTAACACAGACCGGCCTGTCTGGCATCAACAACCATGCCACGCTCAAAATTGCTTAAATCCCCTTTCTTTCCCATTCTGACATTCAGTTTGGAGTTCAGGAGATTGTCTTGACCAGGACCACACCCCTAAATGCATTGAAGCAACTGCCATGTGATTGGTTGATTGGAAAATTGCATTGATGAGAAATTGAACAGGTGTTCCTAATAATCCTTTAGGTGAGTGTATATGTATATAGTACTATACACTTGCCGAAACAACCCAAGTAGACGTACTGACCCAGAAAAGCTCAGGCCGAACTCATCATCTGTCAGGCTTTTATAGAATATTTATTTATACATCTGTCTTTAATCATTGAATTGCATTCTATGTTTTATGTTGAGATGGTTTCTGTCTCTTTTTAGAAGACATAAACATCGCAACTGAAGTAATAGTTGAACACCTGGGCAAAAAGTGGCGTCAACTTGGCAGAAAACTGGGACTTCAGCAGACTCAGCTGGAAGGAATCCAGGAGAAACACAGCCGCGATCTCGAGGAACAGGTCCGGGAACTGATCCGAGTGTGGATGAAGATCCAGAGAGAAAACGCCAGGGTGAAGGAGCTCATTCAAGCTCTCCGAGACTGCAAACAAAACCTCACCGCTGACCTCGTGGAGAAAAAGCTCCGAGAGCCTTGAACATCATCAGCACACAGCGCTTGTGTTATAAAGGATTGATAATGTGAACTTATGTTTTTAAAAATGCAAATGAACATTAAATCTTCTTGAATTAATTTTTGGTGCACATTAGTTCAAACGATTATGTAATGCATATTAAAATGTGATTATATTGCAGAAATGGATAATGTCTTCTTATTAGCAACACACTTCAGAATTCCGGATTTAGCAGTTTTTACAGAACACACTCCTCATACACCGCTGTTCTTGTATCTACTGTTTTAAATAATTTGTATTTAAAAGAATCTAATTAATAATAAAGGGACTGATGTATGATTGAATAATATACCTCATAGAGAGTGTCTGTCTAACACCGTTAAATGATCAGAACACATTTTGAGCCGTGCACTATTAAAGAGTAACTAAACCAACTTTTTTCAGTTAATGATCTGTAAGAATGGATCTTTATTAATACCAGTCATTGATTCGAGTAACTTTTTTGACATTTGTTTATAAAGTGTTTTATTTCTACAATATATGGTGTAAAAACGTCTTAGTGCTGCCCTCTTCAGGTTGAACGGTGGCTACTGCAGTTGGATGTTCCGCACTTCGTGACGTACGCAGGTTTCAGCTCACCACGCGAGCTACGCCCTTGGCAATATAAAAAGCATCTTGTGTCATCAAAACCACTGTAGCGAGTCAGGAATTGGAATTGTGAGTATTGAAAACGATCAGGATAAAGTGTTTTAGCATCTATTTCGTCCCCTCCATCTCCGCTGGGGTCTGCCCACTTTTTCAGCATTTTTCAAATATTGCAACATGACTTTTGCGTAAACATATACGCCACTTTCGCGCCAGGTGGCGTGTTATCTCTACGCATTTTGAGCTATCCGCGTGTATGCGTATATGTCTACGCCATTAACGTCCGCGTCATTTCGCGTGTCCGAACACGCAGTCAAATCACCAGTCATAAATGCCATTAACCCCAGTGACGGTTAAGTTTAGGGATGGGGTTGAGGTAAGTCATATCTTTTTCTTTCCTAGGATGGTAAGGGAACAGTCATAAATGCCATTAACCCCAGTGATGGTTAGGTTTAGGGACGGGGTTGAGGTAAGTCATATATTTATATAACGTTAAGTCAACGGCGTTCATAAACACGCTGAAAGGCGATTATGCGTCTTGATAGCACGCCAAAAATGGAAATACGAATTGGCGTGTCATACACACGCTACTTCATGAGTGTAACTTGTATTTATTCTATACTTTACTGTATGGAAATGCTTGAATCTGTAATAACATGCATGTTGTTCCACTGCAGCAATTCTTAGATTAAGATATTGCACAACATGTCTGTAAAGCGAAGTTCAGTTCTCAGAATCGCTCTCACACAGGCATGTTGAACATGTTTCAGCAAGACGTGTGTTTTCAGCTCCACCACAGATCTTCCTGGAGATTATAATGTATTATTTTGAGTCATCTCTCTTGGTCCCACACTGGTTGTATAGATTGAGTTTCCCGAAAGCATTGCAAACCTGAGTAGAGCAGTGGTGCCAGTGGGACACTACACAACTTTTGAATTCTGAACAGATTTTAAGACACTTGGCATTACATTTTTTGTTGTTGTTGTTGTTATGGAGAAAAACTACATGAACTACACCCGGTATACTTAACCCATTCAGACCCTGTGTCTATTACAATGGACATCACATGTCAGCCCCCTTTTTTTAACTTCAGGAGCATTTCATCTAGTTTAAAGCCTGCAGTCCATGAGATTGGACGTTTGTCATCAAGCTTTGAATGTAGTAATTATATAAAAAAAAAACTCTACATTGAAGAGAAGCATGGCAGCACTTCACTCCAAACACAGAAGCAAGCAACATTTTCTAAGGTGTATTTACATTTTGTATATATTTTTGCCTGTATTTCATAGTTTGTATGTAAAATAGAAAGATTGAACTTATTAATTAGTTAAAAATCGACTAGAATTGCACGTTTTAAATCAGGATTTTTTTAAAATGTGTCTTGTCCATTAGAATGGACAGTAGGTTTGAAAGCCTGTTCCTGAAGTCACATTTTCAGTAATGCTGATTGAAATTTCTTTTATAATATATATATATATATATATATATATATATATAACAGTACCGATACATTTTTGAAACTTTTTCATGTGCAGAATATACAGTTCTAAAGTGCTTGAACATATAGCTGATGAAAATATCTCAGATGTTGACTTTATGTGGAGTAATGAGGAAGATGGAGATGTAAGAAAAATATCCATATTTAAAACTTTATAAAGTAAAATAACTTCCGGCCAAAAGAACATATGGATTTGACTTAAATCTAAAGCGCAACTTAAATATGAATATTTTAAATATTTTATATCCATATATTTTTTATTGATAGATGCACTTTTATGATGGATAGATGCACTTTTATGATGGATAGACGGATTTATGCACTTTTATCATGGATAGATGCACTTTTATGATGGATAGATGCACTTTTATCATGGATAGATGCACTTTTATCATGGATGGATGCACTTTTATGATGGATAGATGCACTTGTATCATGGATAGATGCACTTTTATGATGGATAGATGCACTTTTATGATGGATAGATGCACTTTTATCATGGATAGATGCACTTTTATGATGGATAGATGCACTTTTATCATGGATAGATGCACTTTTATGATGGATAGATGCACTTTTATCATGGATAGATGCAGTTTTATGATGGATAGATGAACTTTTATCATGGATAGATGCACTTGTATCATGGATAGATGCACTTTTATGGACTTTCAAAATAGAAACAAACATTTACAGCCGATATAAAGCTTGGAAGGGCCAGGACATTGTTTAATATAACTCTGATTATTTTTGTCTGAGAGAAGAATGTCATATACACTATGGCTAGAGGCCAGAGTGATTAAATCATGGGTTAATTTAAATTTTGGGGTGAACTATGCCTTTAAAGGTATAGTTCAACCACAAATTATATTTGTCATCACTTACTCACCCTCATGTTGTTTCAAACCTGTATGAGTTTCATACCATTTTTATGTTGGACACCACCCCCACTGCAATCTATTGAATGGGGTTTCGGGTAGTATATTTGATAGACATTTTAACTAAAGTTTCTTTCATGATAAAAACTATTTTACTGCACTCAGGCCATAGCACCAAGCGCACGTAGCAACTCAAAATTTCGACCCGAAAAAAAAAAAATAACAGTGGTAACCCTTGTTGTTTTTTTTGTTTTGTTTTTTGGTGTGAAAAAACATGTTTCTCCAATCTTCTTGAAACTCTGGATTCTGATAGAGGGCCACGAGACTTAGACCTGAGTGCAAAAATGGAGGCTCTAGCCCTTTCCAGAGCTGAGATATCGAAACTCAAAAATTCGGCCCGAAAAAAAAACGACAGTGGTAACCCTTACGTTTTTTTTTTGGGCGAAAAAATAAGTTTCTCCAATCTTCCCAAAACTCTGGATTCTGATAGAGGGCCATGAGACTTAGACCTGAGTGCAAAAATGGAGGCTCTAGCCCCTTCCAGAGCTGAGATATCGAAACTCAAAAATTTGGCACGAAAAAAAAACGACAGTGGTACCCCTTACGGTTTTTTTTTTTTGGGCGAAAAATTAAGTTTCTCCAATCTTTCCAAAACTCTGGATTCTGATAGAGGGCCATGAGACTTAGACCTGAGTGCAAAAATGGAGGCTCTAGCCCCTTCCAGAGCTGAGATATCGAAACTCAAAAATTCGGCCCGAAAAAAAAACGACAGTGGTACCCCTTACGTTTTTTTTTTTGGGCGAAAAATTAAGTTTCTCCAATCTTCCCAAAACTCTGGATTCTGATAGAGGGCCATGAGACTTAGACCTGAGTGCAAAAATGGAGGCTCTAGCCCCTTCCAGAGCTGAGATATCGAAACTCAAAAATTCGGCAAAAAAAAAACGACAGTGGTACCCCTTACGTTTTTTTTTTTGGGCGAAAAATTAAGTTTCTCCAATCTTCCCAAAACTCTGGATTCTGATAGAGGGCCATGAGACTTAGACCTGAGTGCAAAAATGGAGGCTCTAGCCCCTTCCAGAGCTGAGATATCGAAACTCAAAAATTCGGCCCGAAAAAAAAACGACAGTGGTACCCCTTACGTTTTTTTTTTTGGGCGAAAAATTAAGTTTCTCCAATCTTCCCAAAACTCTGGATTCTGATAGAGGGCCATGAGACTTAGACCTGAGTGCAAAAATGGAGGCTCTAGCCCCTTCCAGAGCTGAGATATCGAAACTCAAAAATTCGGCCCGAAAAAAAAACGACAGTGGTACCCCTTACGTTTTTTTTTTGGGGCGAAAAATTAAGTTTCTCCAATCTTCCCAAAACTCTGGATTCTGATAGAGGGCCATGAGACTTAGACCTGAGTGCAAAAATGGAGGCTCTAGCCCCTTCCAGAGCTGAGATATCGAAACTCAAAAATTCGGCCCGAAAAAAAAAACGACAGTGGTACCCCTTACGTTTTTTTTTTTGGGGCGAAAAATTAAGTTTCTCCAATCTTCCCAAAACTCTGGATTCTGATAGAGGGCCATGAGACTTAGACCTGAGTGCAAAAATGGAGGCTCTAGCCCCTTCCAGAGCTGAGATATCGAAACTCAAAAATTCGGCCCGAAAAAAAAACGACAGTGGTACCCCTTACGTTTTTTTTTTTGGGCGAAAAATTAAGTTTCTCCAATCTTCCCAAAACTCTGGATTCTGATAGAGGGCCATGAGACTTAGACCTGAGTGCAAAAATGGAGGCTCTAGCCCCTTCCAGAGCTGAGATATCGAAACTCAAAAATTCGGCCCGAAAAAAAAACGACAGTGGTACCCCTTACGTTTTTTTTTTTTGGGCGAAAAATTAAGTTTCTCCAATCTTCCCAAAACTCTGGATTCTGATAGAGGGCCATGAGACTTAGACCTGAGTGCAAAAATGGAGGCTCTAGCCCCTTCCAGAGCTGAGATATCGAAACTCAAAAATTCGGCCCGAAAAAAAAACGACAGTGGTACCCCTTACGTTTTTTTTTTGGGCGAAAAATTAAGTTTCTCCAATCTTCCCAAAACTCTGGATTCTGATAGAGGGCCATGAGACTTAGACCTGAGTGCAAAAATGGAGGCTCTAGCCCCTTCCAGAGCTGAGATATCGAAACTCAAAAATTCGGCCCGAAAAAAAAACGACAGTGGTACCCCTTACGTTTTTTTTTTTGGGCGAAAAATTAAGTTTCTCCAATCTTCCCAAAACTCTGGATTCTGATAGAGGGCCATGAGACTTAGACCTGAGTGCAAAAATGGAGGCTCTAGCCCCTTCCAG